CTCATTTCTGTTCTTCACAGTTTCTGCAAAGACGTTATAATATAAAAAAATAAAAAAATGTAAAAATATATAAAAGTAATCCTGTATTCAATTCTTACAAATGAACTTGTAACTCACAATGAGTGTACTATTTGTACAATGATTATAACTTGTCGGTAAAGTATATAAAGTAATAAAACTTCTTATTGGGTAGGCGGTATTTAACATCCTTATATATCAGTTAAACTAATCGAATAATCAACATTCATGTCAGTCAACAATATGCGGTAATCAATGGTATTGTTTTTGATGTTTTTTTATGTATGTCGGTAATCAACATTCGTAAATGTCTATAAACTATACGCGGCTATCAACATTCTTTTTTGACATTCAACAATATGCTGCTATTTACATTTGGTACTTAACATTTATATATGTTGGTAAATAATATGCCGTTATAACCATTGTTATATGTCAGTGAACTTTTGCGGTAATCAACATTCTTTATGTCAGTAAACTATATGCGGTAATCAATATGGTTACTTGTCAGTAAGCTATATCTTGTAATCAACATTTTTATATGACAGTAAACTTCATGCATTCATCAATCCTATGTATTAATACACTATGAGCAGAATCAAAATTGTGATCGCTGAATTATATGAGGTAAATTACATCTTCAAGAACTGACACTTCTTGTGGTGCAACGTTATCCGATCTTCAAGAATACACTCAAAAATCACAGGTATTGGATCTTTTTTATAATGCGGCCATCCATGTTCCATTTGTTTCTAATTTCAAAATTTAAAATCAAATACGAATAGTTTAACGTGCATAACACTAAATAAAACTGCCCGCAGTTTACATAATCTTTGTTTGAGAAGTAATTAAACCAAATGCCGATAAGAAAGAACTATGTTACATCTTTTCTTCCTCAGTCTATTCAATAAATTGCGCATGCAAAAAAACAACCATAAAACATTGCATAAAATGTTAAAAACAAAGTTATTTTTTAAAGCAGCATACTATTTTGTTCTGGAGCATTTTTATTCTAATAATGAACAGTTTTCATGAGTGTAAAATAAATGAAATTTTATATGTTACAGCTCTTCCCAGGAACGACCATAAGTGTATGAAGACATCGTAATGTTACCGTTTTTAAATATCATAAAAATACATGTATCATTTTAAATATAGCATTATAACCTTTAAACGGTATAAGTCTATATCTTATGAAATATTTCTATAGAATTTATCAACAGTAAAACTATATTGGTTCCATAATTATATGGTTGATTACGGAAAAAGTTGTAACATAGAATGTTTCTGTTATTTAATACACATTAATACTGTACATAAACAGAATAAAAAGTTCCGGAACAAAATGTTACTTTGCTATTTAAGGAAGGGTTTTATCCGTTTAGCAATGACTTTGCGCATGTGCCACTCGCATTTAGTCAATTTATTGCCATTTTTTATTTCATACAAACATTTTGGAAGTATTCTTTTTTAAAATCCAAACAATAATTTTCGCATCAGATATATAGCTTTATACACTTTAAGTACGTACTGTTGAAAATTAATTGTTCAAAAATCACTATTATAAAGTAGAAGAGCATAATATTGATTTTCATTTGTTTTACCTTTTTTATATTTTACCTTATCTCAAAGTCGTTCCGGGAATACTGTTGATTAAATGACGTCTGGAGAAAAGCTCTTTAGTGATCAATATATGACACAACTCTATCATCAGATTCTATTGTTTCTCCTAAGATGGGGAAAGTCCTCTAATTGCTCAATCAAGACTAGCAACTTAGGTAAATTATGGACCGTGTTCATTAACGCTTAAAAATTTAGGCAAATTAGACCTCTGTTCTCATTAATACTTGACTTGAACCAACCCCTTACTGCCGTAGTTGAATAATTTTCAAGAACGCATATAATTGTGAAAGTGCAAATGTCTTCTTTTTTACAAACAAATGTGTTGGTCCAGCAATCATGCAGATCAAGGTGGGATTGGCAAAGGTTTTTTAGTATTTAATTTTGTTTCAAGTTAACTGTTTTCTAATCATTTTTATGTTGTATGTAAGATATGTTAGACAATAAAGAATTACGTAGATGACATTCAATTTTAATGCAGATGGTCAGCAATAGTTATATATGGATGTTCTTGGCAAGTATGAGATACATGATCTGATACTACAGATATTTATATTGAAGATAATAAAAACGTTCTAGAATGAAATATTATTATTCTTAACAGAAATGTTCATTCTAAATCCTTTATTTTTGTAATAAATATTCTATAAGAATATATGAATTATACATTTCAATTGTTTCAATATTTGACATTCATAAGGCAATTGTGTCTATTGTAGACCAATCCACTTTATTTGATGTCATTACTAAACCTCCTGACTTGCAGGTTAATTTTGTATTATCTTCTGTCTTTGTTTACGCTTTAGGACTAATGCATAATTAAGCATGCTGAAAATTGCCTTGGTTCAGTCTGGGATTGTCAAAACAATACAATTAAATTTGCAAATAAACAAGTCTGATGCAGACTGGCTTGAAATCAAATTCATTAAATTAAATTTATTTTGCGACTGTTATGAATAAATCAATTCAATTTTCAATGGGTTTTGTATTATTTTAATTGTTGATTAATCAAGTGTAGTAAAAATGCCCTATTTGCATTTCAACCATTTGATAAAATGTTTAACACCAGAAATCTATCGGTTTAATATTTTTTTTTTCATTAAAAGTGGTATCAACATTGCGATAAGTTTTCATTCTTTAATGAATAATATTTATCGCATATTTAGTATAAATGTCTCCGGTGAAAGATACAGACATTACAACTTTAGTTATATTAAAAGGGATAACATTAAAAATATGTGTATTAAATATATAATTACCTAATCTAATAAAACGGTATGCTTTTGATGCTTACCTATTTACTTTTTTTCCATTGTAATGAACTAAACGTTTATAATTATGAAGAAATAGCTTTTTTTACACAGAAGCAATACAAAAAATAATATATTCAATTATATCTTTATTTCTTTTCTTTTGTTTTCAGCCGGCGTAAGCTATTTCGTTTTCAAATTGATTACCTTGAAATTTAAGTACCTGAACATGATCTGCTTTAATTATGCACACAATGCATACATTTTAAACAATGCCATAGACATGTTACATCATTAACAACTATTAATATCATAGTTTGGGGACCTTTCTATTGAAAATGTATCAGAGTTAAATTGTACGACCATACATGCACAACGCGATAACTGGAATGCAAATATAAGTTACCCGCTCTCCAGTTACCGCACTGTCGGGGAAAAAAATAGTATCTTCGTTGATTGGCTTATGCTCTCTTGGGTTTACATATTGTGGCAACAGGGATAATGATAGAATATTACATTCAGATGCTCGTACATGGGTTACTTTTTCTGGGGTTTCATATTGTAACGACAGTGAACGGGTTTATTTGTGTCTATGATTCACAAACTCGTACAAATCAGATATCCTTATGTTTCGATGCTCTTTCTATTACTTATATTACTTAAGTAAATAATTGTAAATATAAGGTGTGTTGATTGCATGTATTAACAAAACTATGTGAAACAATGCAGGAAAGAAATATTAGTGATAATAATATAAATGGAATATAACAAATGCAATTCATATGAAATATGAATATATTTCTTTATGTTATTTTCCGTGATGAGAACCATAGAAAGTGGACTCAAATGTTATTTAAATCCGCAAGAACATTTGTATGGAATAAGTATTGAATAATGTCTGTAAATATCATAATGCGTATGTTCAGCGTGTGGAAAGTTATAAAACTTATATTATGATGTTCTAATCGGACGTACAATAAAGTCAGTCCAGTTCAGCTTGGATGGGAAACTGATTATTTGTTCAGAAGCTGACGAACAAAATGTCTGTTCAAATGATTTATCCTTTCATATAACGCTTCTCGAACTACTATAGCATTGAGCAATGATCTATTCCATCAAATTCGTTATGCTGCGGAAAATATGAAGTATTGACCATAAACATTAAAGTCGTTCAACCAGAATCAAATAAGTGTTTGTTTATAATTGAATGGAGTTTATGCATGGATACCTTCTGCAATTAGAAATCAATTTAAAGACTCCATTTGAAACATCAGTGCCTTTGTAGTAGTTAAATAAAACATTTGGCCTCACACGCATCATTACATGTCATTGATTCGTTGGCATATAATTTGATTGGTGAGTGAATAATTTATACATTGTAAAACAAAATGTAATAAGATCAAAGATAAAATACTGATATCTCCTGGCATCTATTCACTGTGCCATAGCTATCAATAAAAGCGTAATAAATAAATACCATGTTTATCAACCAAATTGACTTAATGGCACGATCACTCTCTAGCAAGCATATCTTTAAAAAGCCTATTTACATATATGTAATATTTTACAATTTTTCATGTCTATGTATTCGTACATGTTGATAACAAAGTACAAAATAATAGAATAGAGAACTATATAATGATATCCCCCCAAAAACATTGTAAACTGAGACAATTAAAATGTTAAAGTCTTAGTTTCATTGAACCTGTTCATGCATGGTATAGGAAAGTGCAAGTTACCGTATATGCCCCGTAACCTCTGCTTAAGCATAATAAAAAACGGTAAAATTTTGAATTTATCATATCAAAAATATCCCCCGATGTGTTCAAATAGCGGTTGAAACATTCAATGTGATACGTGAGTGCAATTTCATAAATAACAGGGTATATTACCCGAGTAACATTATACGTGCGTCCTAATCGAGCGAAACAAAATAAAATGAAATTTAGAAAAGGGCGAAACAAAATAAAATGAGATTTTGAAAAGGGGCTAGAGTTTATAACTTTTAATATCTAAAGCTCTAAGAAGTTCGTTTAAGCCTAAACCGCTTGCACAAAAGTTTGAGATATATTTTCTTTTATACAGTTATGTAAACTACTTTGAAAAAGTTACCTTAAAACGTTGTTCTCAAAACAGGTAGCTTGTGTCACTTCCAGACCTGAAACGAGATGATACTACATTATAAAGATATTAGTATTCACAAACACAAACCAAATTCAAATAAAAATATCTCGAACTTTCATCTTTATAAACGTTCATCTTGATTTACAATAATAGCTTAGTAAAGCATGTTATAAATACTGTAACGATTGAGAAGTGTGTGTCTAACTAGTACGATACAAGGAAGAGCTATGGCAACATATAACACGTGATGATTGTTCTAATGATGAACTATTTATATTTCAACTACGGTTGCTTATTTTTTCATGTTAGGAAATAAAAACATCAGGCACATTTTATGAATACAATAGCGGTAACTTTAATATAAAAGTGTGTAGAAATAGTAACTTTTCAATAAAATGAATTATGTTATATATGTAAAAAACCCAGAAGTTCAAGAGCCGAATATTACTAGAGAGAATATTACACGCTATTATTTTTTGACAGTCATCATTTTATCATAAAAATAATTATGGCAAATTACATTTCTTGTAAAATGATAATAAAACTTTCGAGAGTTGTGTTCCAGCTACTGTTTAATGAATCATTTGAGCCGCGTCACGACAAAACCAACATAATCCGCACAGTCTGATCAGGATCCATGCTGTTCGCTTACCAGCTCTTTTACAAGTAGAGAAACTGATAGCGAACAGCATGGTTCCTGATCAGACTGCGCGGATGCGCAGGCTGGTCTGGATCCATGCTGGTCGCAAACCCATTATGTTGGGTTTGTCATGACGTGGCTCATTTGTGTTTAATCTGTTGAGATAGTTCACGTTATCAATGCAAAATATTGACTCACGAACGCAATCAACGGAGGAAGCTATAACGACAGGCTGCAAAAGCTAACAAAAAATTAACAAAAATTAACCAGGCAGTGCGATGTTCACAGATTGCAAATACCGACACAGTCTAGCCACACTTGCAGCTCAAAAACAAACAAATAAGTGAAGGCTATAAGATGGAGAAAGCACTTTTAATAAGCACAATGGAGGTGGGAAAAGAAAATAGTTAAGGAGAAAAGCTTAAAATGAGTGTTAAATACTATTCATACTTTCCTTGAAAAGGAGGAAGACATCCGATGTTATTAATACTCATACAAATAATAATATTACATGTATACATGTAATTTGGTTATGTATTGTTATTAAATCAGATCAAAAGGTTTCATTATAAATTTAGAGCAAAGAGAAAATTTTCTGGAATTATAGCATAAACAATTCATGTAACGGAATTGAACGATGTTTTAGTGTTGAAAATTTGTTCTCAACTTCAAATGCTTTGTACCTTTAAAAGCATATTAGCATGTAATAATTATTATCGAGGATCATAAATTTTAAATGCAATATTTTATCAGATAAAATACAAGCAAAAATGATTTGCATACATATTAATAATTCTTTGCATCATACATTTAGCCACTAACTTAACATTTTTCATAATTGTTGCATTCAGGTTTTTAAAAGACAAAAAAGTTGAAACAATACTCTTTAAAGGAACACATTGGAACACGAACCAAATTTCTCACAACCATCGGTATACAATCTTTAATTAATTTCCTGTACATTTTACTTATTGTGAAATGTTTGAATCAGTGACAAAGAAAAGAAAAAAAAAACAATACTTTAAAAGTTAAATTTGAGTACAAAATCTCTAGTTGATTTTCCATAACACGTTTATAATTTTCATACAAAATTGTAAACACATTTTAAACACTTCGCCTTACATTTAAAACGAGCAAATACCGAATGTACTAAAAGTGTGCTGTCTTATCAAAAGGAACTAGTTTACAGGCTCATTTTATATTAGAAATGTGTTTCTTTCTTTCATACACCTAATTAAAGAAATTCATCTTGTATTAAGTATTGATATCAAAGACTATGAAAATGTTATTTGCCTTGTTTATTATTCTGCCTCGGGAAAATACAGACTATTTATTTACAATTGCTAGCGTCTTAGCATACAAAAAAGACTATATCATCGGCAAAATCTAGAAACAATATAAGAGATTTAAAATCATGTTTCAGCACGCCGATGAGACAATGTTTAGATTTGACTTCAACTTTTATATTCACATCAGAGCATCATTACACCCAAACACGCTTTTATTAGAATAAAATCATATTCATCAAATTTCACTCCATTAGAGAATGCATTAAATGCATACAGATATGTTTATTTATTCATTTAGACTAGCTTTGTTCTGGCTCCGTGATGAATATGGTACTTGACACGTTCAATTATGTCAAGCATTTCAGTGATCCATTTGTCAATAATTCATATAACCCATTTATTCAATGTAATAAATTGTCATCTTAAATGAACATTATTTTCTTGCTGTTCTAGATTTTTTTACTCTTAGTCCTTATGTGATTACATATACTACTCAGCGTCATAATGCCGTGTTACTGAAATATTTGTTTTCATTCTTGAAAGTATACACTTGTAGCACTTCGAATTAAGTCTATAATATAGGTTGCCTTCTTTTATAATGTTGTCTTTTAAATGGTATGTATGTGGGACTAATATCTCAATGTTCCATATTCGTTAGCTCCACCCATTTATTTTCTCGATTTGTTTTGCACAAGCATTATTTCAACCGAAGAAATGTTACTATTCCGAAAGTATAACATTGATCCTGCAGTATAAACACATCTACCGATGTTTCAATTGTTTAAATTCCTTGTACCGAACATTTGTATTCATATAAATAAAAAGTTATCAAAGTTAAACATTGTTTGGTTATATCAGCGAAGAGCCATTCATGAGATGTTTGTTTGAAACAAGTGCATAATTTTTACAATGACATAAAAAACATGTATTTTGTGTTTTATTGATAAAGCTAGTAAAGTTTCCAATTTCTGGTTGTTCTCTAGTGTTTCTTAAATAACATTTTATTACTCAAGTAAAACTGATAAAACATGTAATAACGTAACTGAGGAATACGTATTTGTCGACAGTATATGCTCACATATATTGAATTAATTGCTGCAAGTATATCTCTTAAGTGATCTATATCAACAATATGTTGTTAGAATGCAAATGAAAATTCTGTTATTTGTATGCCTGTTAAACTGAATTGCTAATTGTCTCGGTTTATGGATACATTGAACCGGTATATTTATTAGTCAATCATAGAATCTCTTGGGGATTTAAAAAGAACGATAACGGTCGTTGAAATGGTTACATTAACACTATTGAATAATAACACTATTGAATAAGTTAATTGAAAATAATATTTCGTACAATGAATTGTTCTAGGACCAAAGATTATTTCCATTAGTATTTTTATACATAATTCCATTTTTATTAAAAAGTAAATTCCTGAACAGTTACAAAAGAAAGTCTAAAAGTGTCATAGTGATGTAATGTATACGACATAATTGCGCTTTCCAAAGTCCAGGCGTCATTTATTATGTAATTATCAAATAGAAGCAGGCAACATCAGTTGCTTCTTAAAGAAGTTTTGTTCCTCTTCATGACAGTGTCTTCCGTACAGTCACTGCCACTACTTAAATAAAATAATGATTATGTATCAGTTAGCCGACGTGTTTTATAACATATTTTATGGTCTGCACGGATAGGACAAATTGGCTGAAAGCTCTCCATGGAAAGATTTTGTTATTTGTACAGAAGGCATGTCTTCTGCTTCAAAAACTTCACATCAATATATTGAAGAGACTGACAATAAGCGTGGCGTGAGTATCCATCTTTTACTAGATATAGAATGTATCGAAGACACATCTGTGCTTTTTATTTCTAGATTTTGTAGATTTTGTTTCACAGAAGGCGATGGATGGGTACTTTAAGTGAAATAATTAAGAAAATTGTTAAAACGTATCTGAACGATTCTGCAAAAGCATGTCATGTTTCTAAAAAGTATGTTACATCGAAATATTCTTTTGATTTAAACAGAATGCTTAAATATTCCAAAACCACAAAAATTGGCTATGTTCAAAGCATTACATCTTTTTGTACTGTGATGGAAATTATGTTAAACTAAAGAAATCTTACAATATTTTTTGCCTTAATGATCATGGAGACAAATAACCTAATATGCATTGTTAATATTGTCTCTTTTTATATCAATACATCAGCGCTTTTACTCTTAAGACGACAGTCACCGCTGTAATAAAGACGGCAAAACATAGTCAGCACCACATTGTAAATATAATAAATACAGCAAAATTTTAAAACAAGACAAAAATGTCATTTATTGGCGCCAAAGACATAATTTAGCCTTATAGAATGAAACTCTTCATTGTCCTCCTTCTGTTTTATATTAAATTATTGACTGACAAATTGGCTCAAATTATAAATATTATGGATTCTTAAGTGCCTGTAGACTTCATTTTAATACGTATTTGTTGTCTTATATAAAAGATAATGGCTATCACCTACTTTTATTGGAATTTGCTACAGGTTTTAATATCTATGCTTTTATTTTGTGCCATATTGTTTTACTATTCATTTTTTAGTTTATGTTTCTGCAATGAACATGTTGTGTGCCCTATTGGGCGCCTCTACGATAGCTCCTTGCGTCTAGATGTTGCAGTGGCTTCGTTCCTTGGACGTCGCTCTTATTAAATTGATCGTTTTACACATTTTTTTGAAAGGATATTAAAAAAAAAAACACTTCGGGCCTACATTTAAATTGAACAGATATCAATTACAGGTCTCGGCACTAACTTTTTCAGCAGGTGGTATGCCGGACCACTGGATCCAAAATTCAGGTGGTCCTTTTTGAACACAGGTGGTCCATCTTTTTTTTTACTCATTTGTTTTTAAGGAAACTTCAGATTTAGAAGAACTACACTTAAAATTGGTGACAGAGACATATTTATTAGTAGATTTATAACAACTGAAGAAAACATGTATTTTTTCTATTTCAATCTTAGATCAGATAGTAAGTCATTGTAATCCTATTTAGTATTTATTATCTCATTGAATAATACATGACAGTACTCATACTTCGGTTAAGTGACTTCTTCCGCGACTCAAG